GTGCGCCGCCTCGGGCCCCTGCTGCTGGACCCCAGCCTGGCGGTGAGGGAGACGGCGGCCGGAGCGCTCAGGTGAGCAAGAGGGGGGTCCGGATGGCACTGCGTCCAGCCGGCGCCTTCTGTGTGCCACGCGCCGTCGCTTGCCCGGTTTCATCCTCAGTGCATTCGTTCTAGGCAGCGCGGGAGCGCCAAGAACTGCCCAGGGTCTCCCATTTGCAGAGGCGGGATTTGAACTCAGGCACTTAGGCTCCAGACGCCTCTATAACCCCTGGAGCTCACACATTCCATGCGTCCATCTTGCTGCTGCCCCCGCAGTAGCCTCCTGGCCTCCTGGCCTTCTGCCCAGCATCCTTCGTTCAAGGCCTAGCGCATTGTGCCCTCTCCAGGAACCCCTCCGTAGAGTTCTGAGGTTCAGGGAACTCCAGTATATGTGCCAGATTTCTGTGCAGGGGACTTTGAGGCAGGACACTGAATGTGTCAGCCAAGATCCCAGGTTGATGAAACAGACAGGAAACTAGTGAACAAGCAAAACATATTAGATAGTGGGACGTGCTGTGGAGGAAACCAAGAGGATGATGGGTTGGAGGTGAGACGTTACTTAAATTGGATGATCTCTAGATGACATCTGTGAACTGAGCGAGCTGACCAATGAGAGAGTCAGATACTGAAAAATGGGGAAGCATTTCCTGACTGGGAAGCATTTCCTGATAGCAAAGGAGCGAGACAGCAGAGGGCTTGGCTGGTTAGTGTGGCCGACTAGCCTGGGGGCGGGGTATTATGGGAGGTAAAGCCAGAGAGGAGGACAGGATTGAGTGGTGCAGGGCTAAAGGACCTATTCTAAGCAAGAGTGACAGGATCTCACTTACCTTTTCAAAAGGCCAGGCTGTGCGGAGAATGGACTGCAGGAGGGGCAAGTGGAGAAGTTAACATCTGTAGTTCTTAAGAGTTTTGTTTGTATTTTTTATTCATTCATTGACTTGGAAAGGCAGGGTTGCTTCAAAGGGCGTCATTCTCAGCAGCCTCACCCTTGCTGGTCTGGAAGTCTTGATTCCAAGAAAAGATCCCTTCGCATAAGATTAGACTGTGAATTGTTTACATTAAATAGGAACAGTCTTCTCCCCTCTACCTTCCCTATAGGCGCACGCTTGTGCGCTGTGTCAGACTGAGTTGTTACATAACTAAGTCGTTTGTTGACATCATGTAAAAGGGAGCCGAACAGGTGGAAATTGATGGGTTGGATCTGTAGCATCTTATCGAAGTAATAATCAGTTTCATTTGGGAGACCTCGAGTATGGTTAGAAATAGAAATAAATTTGAGGGGGTAGTAGTGTTTTGTGACATGTGATTTGAAAGTAACACATATTTTCAATTTCTTGTGTAGAAATCTCAGTGCTTGTGGAGGTTTTGAAGTTTGTGATGACATGGTGACTAAGGATATCATGACTCCTCTGGTCGCACTGCTAAAAGAGGTATGCGATTTTTCAAGTATTCCGATGACAGTTTTTAAATATAGCTTTTAGGATGCAAACTTAGATGATTATTATTATTTTTAAGTACTTTGGTGATATTTTGTCTTCCCTCAAATCATCCTTTGGGGATTTTATTTTTCTGGAAACACTGATCTCTCCTTGCTGATACCAGTCTCTAGTTTGTCCCCACTGCCTGTTTTATGTGTCAGTTGGGAAAGACCTTCCTAAAACTATAGACTGACTCCTTTAGACTTTCAACGTCATACACTAAAAATAATCAGAATTATAGATTGCTTATTTGTGCACCGGTTGTGTTTTGTGTGTTATTAAATCCACACAGCACTCCTTTCTGGCATTTGTAGAAATTTTTAATACGACCGTTTTACAGATGGAAGCTGAAACACAGACATTAGGAATTTGCCTTGAAGAGGACATAAAGCTCCCAAACTTAATAAACCAGCTGTATTGCATGAGGTAGTTCAGGGTTAAGGAGCTCTGTCCGGCATGCCTCTAGACCACTGTTCTAGACTGGTAGGTATTTTCACTTACAGCCATGTAGAGAATATCCAGTTTTGACAAGAGGCCTCATCAGTCTCATTCGCTTTAAAGCAGTGTTTCTGCTAGAGGTGATTTATCCCACAGGGGACATTTGGCAATCTCTGGAGCCATTTTTGATCGTCAGGGCTTGGGCGTAGGTGTTGTTGTTGGCATGTAACGGGTACAGGCCAAGGATGCTACTGAACATCCTACAGTGCGCAGGACAGCCCTCACGGCAAAGAATCATCCGGTCCAAAATGCCAGTAGTGCCGCAATGAGAAGCCCCGCCCTTCGGAGGAGCCGGGCTGCCCTAGAGGGACAGCACTGCAGACTGGCTCGGTGGCCACCTTTGGAGCCAGAATGCCCAGCCTCACCGCGTGCTGAGCGGCACCTCCAGCAGGCTCTCCGCGCCTCAGTTTCCTGTTTGTAGCGGGAGGTTGGGGATAACAGTACATCCATTTCTTAGGTCTGTGGTAAGGATTAAATGACTTAATATATATAAAGCGCTTAGAATAGTGCCTTGCGCATCGAAGATACTGTATGGGTGTGAGTGAGCTCTTATTATGCGTTACCCCTCTTTGCCTCATTTACTGTCTGTCACATTAGAAAAAATACTTCGTATTGGGTTTACATTTTCATTTAAAAGGCGAAATGCTTTATATCCAGTTTGCGTAGTGATTTGAGAACCTCTCTCGTCTGTATTTCTTGCCGAAAGGGAGCAGCGTTGTGGGGATTGTACGGATTCGATTGGCTTATTAACCGCTACGGTTTCCGATGTTTATTTTTTGTGATTCTCCACTATCATGCGTCTTTTTGTTTGGTTCTTCCTCTGAACCACAGTGCTAATCGTGATATTCGGTTACAGTGTAGTGCTGGACTGGATTCAGAGGAGATGTCTCCACCGGAGAAAAAAGACCAGAGCAGAAGTTCTATTGAGAACATAGCCAACGAAGCGGTGAACGTGCTCTGGAACGTGTGGTAAGGCACTTGCCACGCTCAGGCCGCCGTGCTCTCGGCGAAACCGCAGAGGACTTTCTGTTCTCCCCGGGGGGGCCTGTGAATCGTGGTGTGAGTGCTGGGTAGGAGGTGACGTCAGGTGGCCGAAGGGCAGCCCTCCTTCCTGGCTTAGCCTTTGCTAAATTATTTGCCGCATCGCTACATCATGTGCTTCTCAGCTCGTCTCTCCAGTCATTGCTGTCGACAGAAATCAGAGGAGTCGTGGCCACTGGCCCCGTATACCTTAAAGTTGTCCTACAGCCAGCCAGGCCCGCCACAGTAGCTGCTTTGCACTGGCGTCTGGAATGGGACAGGGGCTGCAAGCCCGGGCTGGTCCTTTACTCCACCCTGACGTTGCCATTTGATAGGGCAGTAGATGCCTGAGAAGAGGTCCTTTGGCCCCAAAAAGAGGCCACACTCCATCCCATGGTCATAGCACAGATGGGATGGAGTGGACTTGCTGTTAAGAAAGAGCTAGAAACACAACCTGAATTTGTTTTTTTCTAACCCGTTGTGTGTTCCACATTCCTGTCTAGCAAGATCCTGTCACAGTTCCTTACTTTTTAATCAGCTGCAATTATAGCTTCTGAGCTGAAAGCACAGGGATTTCTTAGAATGCAAGATTCAGTTGGATCTGAAAAGCTGCCTCCAAACCTGTCTGTGATTTCATTTTAAACCCGTGGATGCATTCCACCAGAAAAATAGGAGAGAGCCGATTTGAGGAAATGACGTTTGAGCAGGCTGGTGGGGGCTGCTTTTCTGTGCACCAGATAACTTTTCTTATGTAAATTGTTGAACTTGGAAATTTTCTAAACATTTCTTTGGAAAGAGCCGGAAAAAGTGATCTTCATGGTGACCTCTCTTTCCTCAATGCCCGTGAGCCTGTCTGTATCATTCCAGTTGTCATAGCTCTTCATGTGTTTGTTTTACAGTTCAGATTTTAAATTATATTTGCGAATGTATATATTTTAAGTTATCTTAACACATGTATGTCTTACCTTCCTGACTTCACCTGACTTTGGGCTTCTTGAGGGTAGGCTCATAGCAATGTTGCAGTAGCTAGCTAGCTAGAAATAGTTTATCTTTAGATAAAGGATTGAATTTAATAGTTTAGTCAGCTCTGTTAGCTATTTGTGTGTCATATATGTATGTGATATGTGTAGGGGAATACTTTTCTCTGGAAAATTATTATAATTATTATAATTACCTTTGTTTACCCGGTCTTTTGTATGTGTGTTTATTAACAACAGTGGTAACAATCACATTAATTCATTAAAGGGTGGTATAATTTAAAAAACGTAGTAATTTCTTTGTTGCAGACTGCAGTTCTACTTGTTGAAATTATAATAGTCTAGAAGGAATGAATAAAATTTAATTTTGCTTTCTTTAAAATTTGTGCTTTTTGTGTGATAAGTAGAGAGGCCTTTAATCCTCACTTTAACGTATCGTTACGGTGGCTAGCGGAGGAACAGTGGATTGGATCCAAGAAGCCACCACTAACCAAACGGCTGGTCTTTGGACCGATCATTCCGCTTCTAGGGGCCTGGGTTTCCTCATCTCTAAAATGAGGAGATGAAGTAAATGATTTCTAAGATCTCTTCCAGCTCGAGCCTCCCATAAGGACACGGGCTCAGGCAGAGATGGGCTGCGAGGCCCCACGTGCTGTAGACGTAGAAACAGCCAATCATGTTCATGGGCAGTGAAAATGAACGGGCGCTGGTTTCTTCACGTGTGCAAGTGGCAAGTGTTTGACCCCACCTCTCTGGTTCTTTTATAAAGCTGGATTCATTTTTTCATGAATTTCTATGGTTGATTTCTTAATGTTAAAATGTGAATAGTAAAACCTTTTTTCCCCCCTTCGATTTAGTGAATGCAGTAGTAGAGCACTATCTATATTCAACAAAGAAGGCTGTTTGGAGATTATATTAAAGTATTTAAGTAGATTTTCCACCAATGTCGACCTGGCTGTTTCAGTAGGTAAGTGAAGAAAAGGTGATGATTTGTTAATTATGTGTGATCTTATTCAAAAATCTTTATTCAGACATAGCATGTTTATTGTAAAGGAGTGATTTCTTTTTCCTCATTGTCTATAAATGTATAGTGAGTTCTGTTGGTTCTGAATCTTTTAAAATCTGTTGTTAACACTTACACAGTTTTCCTGCTCTTTCCTGGGAAAGGGAGGGAGCGATTACGTGAGCCCGTGTGGTTTCTAGCGTGTTACTTATCTTAGAAGGCTTTAATTCCTGAGCTTTCATCTCCGTCGACGGGGAAACTAACGAACAGCCACCGGGCCTTTGAGCCAGAGTTCATTGGAATCTAGACTTATCTCAGTGTCTTGCACCACTGTCTCCTGCTTTCCACAGAAAACTGATAACCTGGGCTTTTTTTTTTGAGAGAGGAAATAATGTGATTGAAATTTCACATAGACCCACTTCCCTTCTGGGGGGCAGGGCAAGTCTGGCAGCTTAGCTGCCCGTGGCTCCCTCCTCCTGTGCCTGGGGTTAGAGAGCCACTGGGGGGGCCCTCCTTCAGCAGAAGCAGGAGACAGAAACTGGAGAGGAGCTGGTCCCACAGAACTTTGGGGTAGGTAGGGTGGAGAAGTAATTTACTGCCCGGGGTAATGGCAGGCATCCAGCCGTCCTTTTATTCTCCTGTCAAGGACAGTGTATCCCCCTTACGGTGCTCCTCCTGGCTCTAACACGTGGTTTCAAGAGAACAGAAAAGAAAAAAATAGTGGAGTAAACTCTACTGGGAAAAATTTAAAAACCGGCTTCTCAAAATGGAATCTTTGAAAGAGGGGAGATTTGTGAGTAAATGTGGATTTTTATAAACAATCGAACTAGGAAAGTGGTAAGTGACCTGAGGACAGTTTTTCTTACAATGAGAATTTCAGGAGTGAGTTCACAGTTTTTAAAAGAAAAACTTCCCTTCTATTTTTGTGCCTTTAGTCTTGTTATAGATTTATTTTTTTAGATTTTTCTGTAATGAACTTTGGAAAAATGGATCAAAATAAAGTAATTTTGCATTGTATAATAATTTCCTTTCTTCAATTTGTAAGATTCATGAGGTTTTAAACGAATGTCAGATTACTTTTGTTCTGAAAATCAAGCAAGGCTTACATACAGTCAAGTGAACTTCTGAGATTCCATTCTATGTATTAATAAAGTTTTCTTTGAGCTTGTATCGTCTTTATGGTAGCAGTCACAACTTATCTTGGCCTTTTGCCAAAGTGAATTGAATCTGTCTCTTAATGAGAAACATATTACATTTGGATGTATGTATATGAACATATATGCGTATGTGGATTTGTGTACAGATATATTTTGAGAACCAAACTAGATCACAGAAATAGCATGTATTTTGACTAATTTGGACGAGTGTGATTTACATTGAAATTTTTAGACCTGGCAAGAAACGGATTTGTGTGGAATACAGTATCTTGAAAACACATTTGGGCCTGCTTCCATTTTATGCTTCAGAGGTCTCCTTTGTCAAAAGCTTTCATACAATCCCAGATGTTTTGATATTTTCAATTATTTTTAATGTCCAAGCTGTAATCAATTGTCTTGTTTTAATGCGGGAGAGGAGTTAAGTGGATCATATGTCTTAATATTTTAATTTGCTCTCATTTTTATGTAAAATACTTTTTTCTTAAAGAAATATTGCTTCAGCAGAAATAACCGTAACTTTTAAAGTCATGCTGAATTTAAAGGAGGCCAGAATGTACCCAAACCTAGGGCTTGTCCTTCACAGCAGACCTGCCTGACAAGAGCGAGCCACAGACTGGTGTTTGGTCTGCAGGCTATTTGCCTCTGATCCATGATAAGTAATAGAGGCTAAGCCTTTACTGGTGTTTATGGTGACTCCACATTGTCATGCCATTGGAAACCCTTTTAAATTGTATTTTATAAAAGTTTAGTTCTTTAAAGAATTAGAAATTAAGAAAAAAGAAAACATCTTTTATACCACTGATAGTTTGGGAACCCTCATTTGCATGTATTATCTGTAGGTACGTACATATCCTACAAAATCTACCTGTCCGAAGAGTTGTAAAGATGTGAATGTTTTTTGATGAGTTATTTTTGTGTAAATTATTCTGGTAGAATTCACGGTTTCTGAATATCTCATCTTTGTCTTGGTAGCGTATTGTTTGCAGACAGTGACTGAAGATAACGTTGAGCTGCTGAAATCTTTCAGCGGCCCCGCGCTACAAGTGCTGGAGTCAGCACTGCTTTCTCCTGTCGGTTCCTTGGAATATATTCTGTTAAAGACATTGGTGGCAGGTAAAATTTAGTGTGTCTCTTTGGCAACCTGTAATAAGTGGAGACGGGGTCAAAATTCCATTATTTCACCAATCAGGGCTTTCTGTGCTTATGTCTGTTCGGAAAATTTTAATGTTTAAGTGGAGACCCTTAATTCAAGCAGTCGTGCAGAGTTGGGAAGCCTTCTAGAAGAGGTGTGTTTGCAAGTTAACCAACTACTGTTGTCTGATGAAGAAGTGCTTTTGTCAGGGTCCCCGTATTGACCCGTGAGACCGGAAACTGGCGGGGGGCATCCCGGACGCAACCGCTCCCTTTTCTGTACGGTCTTCACCGCCAGCTCTTTCCTCCTCAGAATTTCTAAACACAAAAATAAAGTAATCCGATGACCTGTTGAGTAATTGGTAATATATACAATTTCTGTACATATTTTCCTCTTGATCTTCTGTACCTATTGGCCTTACAGAGGTAATTTATCTTGAGTGGTTTTTTTTTTTAAAGTGGTAAAATGCATATAACCTAAAATTTACCATTTCAGTCACCTCTGAGTGTGCAGTTCAGTACTGTTAAGTACATTCACATGGTTCTGCATTCAGTCTCCAGAACTCTCTTCATCTCATGAAACCACAGTGCTGGACACTCCCTGCTTCCTGCCACCCTCCCCCAGCCGGCACCGATCCACTCGCTGTCTGCTCTGGGTGCCTCATGCACATGGGATCATACAGTATTTTTTTTTTTTTTTCATGATTGGCTTATTTCACTTAACATAATGTCCTCAGAGTTCATCTATGTTATAGCACATATCAGAATCTCCTTTGTATTTATTTTTAAGGTCAACTAATATTCCACTGTGTATATGCCACATTTTGTTTTTCCATTCGTCATGGGTGGACACTTGGCTTGTTTCCACCTTTTGGCTGTTGAATAATACCTCTGTGACTATGGGTCTACAAATATCTGTTTGAGTTCCTAATTTTAATTCTTTCAGGTACATACCTACGAAGTACTTTTAAGTCACCTTTTTTTTTTTCAGTTAGCCTAACTCTAAATGATACGCTTCTGTTCTACTTTGATAAGCAAAAAACCAGGAACCTACCTGCTGTCTGTCTGATTTGTCCGCGACATCTGGGAATTTTAGTACATTTCGTTCCACTTTTGGAAAATAAGAATCTGCTTCAGAGAGCAGCTCAGGTTAAGTTGAGAGAATGCAAGGCGACTTCATTCGTTTTCACAGAAACTTGATCATTTCTGTCTTGGTCTGTTGCTGTGTAGTGTTGCGTGCCAGGGAAAGGAGATGATTGCAAAGGATTGTAATAAAGGGAGCAGCCTCTGCCGAGTTTTTTTGACATTTAATAAAAACCGAACAAAGGCAGAAAGGCAGTGGGATCGAGATTTTTTGAAATTACACCTGAGCTTAAAAAACCAATCTTGTGGAAACTGTATTTAATAAAAGATTTCATAGGAAGTGCCTCTGTCCTTATGCTCATTTTTTTCCCCAGGCACAATTTGGAATCTGAAGGACATTATTCCATCCAAGAGTCAGGCAGAAATCATAAATGCCATACTGAAGACCTTATCTGAAGTTTTGGAAGTGGATGCTGGTGAAGTGGTTATTCGCATGAAGGAGGCCGAAATGCACAGGTTAAAAGCGGCTGCGGAGGCGGAGGACCCGCCGGAGAATGCTAATGGCGACGGCTTGATCGAAGATGACGAAATGGAAGAAATTCCTCGTAAGAAAAAAGTCCGAAGGAAAACTTTCATCTCAGATCTACTTCCAGTGAGTCAGATCATGCTTTCCAACATGGATTCACATAGCTGTTTCCTTTCAGTGGGCATCCTCAGCTTTGTGGAAAAATGTTACAGCAAAATTAATTATAAAGCAAATTTCAGTAAAAATCAAGTCATCTTTTCCCTTTAACTCTCATTGTAACATCAGAAATTTACTCCCAAAGGGGAAGAAAAACTCCTGTCTAAAACAAAATTTTTTACACAAATGATTTCAGACATGTAATAGACAGACTTTTGCAACACTTTACAAACGTGATCATCTTCCAGCTCTTGTGGCTACACACTGCTTCCCAGCCTGTCTCCAGACCAAAGGAATTTTCACTTTGCTTAGATTGTCTCTTATTTCAGTATTTAGCCTTACCAGAGAAGCAAGCCAGACTTTCGCTTACCCACGACTGCCGCGCAGAGCAGGGGAGGTCGGGTGATCGTGAGACCCAGTGATGTCTTGTAGTTCTGCAGACCGGGAGGTTGTGGCATCCTCATGCTGGCAGCTCCTGTGCGACGTTGGGGTGAGGGTGAGCAGTCTTGGTAGCAGGAGACGTTTCAGCTGAGCCCGTCAGTAGGGGTGGAGCCGCACTTTGGGAAAACATTTCCCCAGGGAGGAGAGCAAGTAGTCTCGGGCAGATGGGGAGCCCGGACGGAGTCGGGCTCTATTCATTCAGGTGCACACTTTCTGCGCTCCTGCTGTGTGCCAGGCACTGTGCCGGATGCTGACGACAGATGATTAAGACATATTTCTTATCTTTGAGGACCTTCGCCGTCTTGGGAGGAGAGAGACGTGATTATAATTTATTATGATGGCTGTGCTAAGAACAGCGATAAGGCCGTGCACAGGCTTCTAATGGAGTAGTTTCTATAGAGAAGGCACCTGTGACTCAGCCCTGATGGGAGAGGAGGAGAAGAGGCTGTCAGAAACGGCTTTGGGGACGGGACACCTGAGCTGTCACAAAGGATGGGGTAAGACAGCGAGGTGAGAGCAGATGGGCGTTGGTGGTAGGAGGCTTGGGGGCAGGAAGACCAGTCGGGGCTGCTGAGGTCATTCTGAAGACATGCCGAAGCCCGAGCTGGAGGAGTGCTGCTGACGCCCCTCTCTGCAGCTTCAGACGTGGCCTGTCCTTACGTACAGCGAACCGAAACTGAGTCGTCTGAAGTCGGCGTCTTAGAGTTTCGATAAGTTTGTGCCCAATGACAATGCTTTAAATGGCATGTACTTGAAAATCACTGGATCAGTACACCACTTTTTGCATTCGCGGAGTCTCGTAAAGCAGGAATTGGTGGTGGTTTAAAGAAACCGAAATGGCATAGTTAGAACTGCTTTTCTCAGCCCTCGTGAATAGCTGTAGGTGCAGAGCACTGTGTTAGTGCAGGGTGACCACAGAAATGAGAAGGCCATGCTGCCCTTGAGTCGCTTGCAAATCATAAAGTGGTTTAAGGGTCGACTTTAGCTCAGGCGGTTGTTCATCATGGCGGACTACTAATCCGTACCAGAAAGTGGCTGAAAAATCACAGCACACCCCTTTCGGTGCGGGGGACACAGCTTTGAACCCCAGACTTACTCCTTGTCTCACTCGTGCATCTGAGTCAGTTGAGTGGAATCTAAAAATCAGAAAATCTGGACAGACAGAGGCACAGCTGTGCGCCTCGCTGCCGCGCCCCCCCACCCCCCGCCCCCCGAAGGGTGTTTGCGAAGGGCCCGGCGGCATCTCTCAGTGTGCGGGAAGGTCAAGTCCTAGCTTGGGATGTGCGGGGCTCGTGTGCACGTGCAGCGTCCGATGTCACGGCCAGGGCAGGAGACGCTGCCGCAGCGGTCGGCATCTCACTGACCTCCTCCTGGCCGGTGCACTGAGTGAGTGGCACCCCCGAATTCCCGTCAGCAGAACCAGGGAGCTCTAAGCTCCCCAGTGTCCTGGGCTCCAGCCGTGCTTCCCAGGGCCCCGTATAGGGAGTGAGAGGGGACCGAGAGCCAAATCTCCCAAGGTGAAGTGCCACTGGTTAAAAGAGATGGATGTTTAACTCTCACTTAGGGATTGACTTTTTTTAGTGTTATTTAGGAATAGATTTAGGTGCTTATAAAATGCAGTGTTTTCACATAGCAAAATCTTGCTCTGCAGTCTGAGCATGACTGAGTAGACTGGATGGTTCACGTGCTGGTCAGTCAGCGATACGCAGGTGCCCGGAGGGCGCTGGGCATCAGCCGATCCGTGCAGGAAGGCAGGTTCACCGTCAGCTCCGCCCCCTGCCTGTGCAGCGCTCCTTCAGAATCAGAACTGCCGACTGCACCATTTAACTTCAGGGGCTGCAGTCACACCTGTACAGAACCCACCACCCCAGGTGATGGTTTTCATACATGGAGAAGTAGCGTACTCTCCGCCCCGCTTCCACAGTTGTCACTTACCAAATCATAGTGTCTCATGTCCCCGCCCCCTCGCCCTTCTCACTACCGAATATTTTGAAGCAAGTCTCAGATGTCATAACATTTCACGTAGGTGGCTCTTCGTGTCAGTTTGACAGCAGTAAGAAGCAGGGAAATGTTCTGAGCAGCAGAATTGTGGGAAAGCGACACTTAATTCCCGAGTGCTCCTGAGCCAGCTCTTCGTGCATCCGAAGTAGCTCAGCACCCGGGAACAGCGGGTCTTGTTTCTAGATGTTCCTTTAGGTGAATATCATACACAGCAAACAGGCTTAATTTTTATATTCATTCTTGCCAGCAATAAAAAGAAGACAAATATAGGGATTCCTAAACTACATCTATTAAATTAGCAATTCGATTTTTTCTTTTTTTTTTTTTTGGTGGTTTGAAATTACAGGTAAATTATTGCATGAGGAAGTTGCTGGAGGCTTACGAATGAGTATAAATATTCTGGAAAGGAAAGTAGGACTATGTCACGGATCTGTAGTTGTGTTTTTAATCTTTGACCCAGTAAATCTGAGGAAATAAGATATCCAAGTAATTGAAATATTCCACACTAGTGAAATGCTTAATAAATTACAGTGCATCCGTCATTCCGACAATAAAATGTACGTTATTTTTAGCTCAAGCACTGTTTTGGAATATCGGTGTAGCTATTTCACTCTTCATAGGTGACTTGGGGATTGAGGCGATGCCAGTTGATGCTACCCATTTTTAACAATGTCAGTTGATGAGTTAAATTCATGTTACTCATTTTCAGAGGAAAAACTCTCCTTTTTTCAGTCTAAAAGACATGCTTTATTGCAGTCTGCAAAGGAAGCCGGGAAGCAAGCCTTTCTGCCTCTTAGCCGAGCTCTGCTAGTCATATAAAGGCTTGTTGGTAGCTCTTGCTAATGCAGCCTTTTCCAGAAAGACATCTACGCATCCAAAAGTGACTTTGTTGTGTATTGGTGCCTGGTGTCTGAAGTGAACTCTTGTTTTAGACTTCGATTCTGAGCTGCTTCTTAACACATTAGGTGAAGTTTCAGGGTGAATTCATTTCGGAATTCCTGAATATTTATCTGTTCTCTGCAGCTAACTAAGCAGCACTTAGAGAATCCCCGTGCAGACGGATGGAGCCAGCTGACAGTGTGTGCTCCCGGTGCCAAGAGGGAGCATAACGCCGTTTGTACTTAAGCAGTCACGACTTCTGCTCCCCCTACCCCCTGCGCGCCGTATCCCAGATGCAAAAAGCACCCAGTAGGCTTTGACTAAGAGATACGTTTCCAAGCATTGAGAGTCGGTTGCTTTTGTTTTTGTTTCTTAAGCCCACTAACAAGGAACTGAGAGAGGCCACAGCGTTGCTGACGGCTCAGCAGACTGCTCTGGAGCTCATCGTCAACATGTGCTGCAGCGAAGGTTTGTTGCCGGTTTACGTTCTGCCCCTGGACCGAGCGGCAGCTTCCATGAGCGGTTTCTTAAACGTTTCAGGTACGTGTGGTTTGCACTCTTCCCAGATCCCTCCGATGATGAATGGGAAGAGCTTTCCAGCAGTGACGAAAGTGATGCCCATACGGAGAATTCCCTCAGCGAGGGCGGTGGGCAGCTGCTGTCTCCCCTCTGCCTCTCCCATGAAATCCACACTGCCCTCACCAGCTGCCTCATCCCCAAGAAGGTAATCGCGTGCGGCCTGGGCTCATCATGGAGCATGGGGAAGGCTTAAAGCTGCCGGTTCAGAAAGCAAAAGACGTGAGCTCAGACTAGGTAACTGGGAAGGTCTGGGAAACAGAACATTGGACAATCCTGGGCGTAGGCCGAAAGACATCCTCATCAAACCGGACCACTTCACCGAGAAGCAGTATGTTGGGGTTTGTAAAGCGATCACATGTAACGTGACTCTAACCTTTGCTTTACTGACTTTTTTACATCTAGATTTTTGAGAGAACTGCCTTTCCCAACAGCATTGCAGTTGACGTCTGTTCTAGGAACCCCACTTGGAAACCTTTGATCAGAAAGTAAGAACTTCTCTGTTTCAAAACTGTTTGTTACTGTGTCGTTATAGAGAATGGTTCAGTAGAAGATGCCCCCCCCCCCATTCAAGGGTTCCATTCCTGTGCGTGTCCCCTGGAGGGACACGTGCTCGTGTGCCCAGTGACCTGGGGGCGTGCATAGCGGTGCCGTCACAGTTTCCCAGCCTGGAGGCGCCCCCTCCGTCGCGCAGTGGTAGAATGGATACGTGTGTTTTGGCACAGTCCCATGGTAGACTCCGAGCCAGAACTGCGCACAGCGTGGGTGAAGCAGCGCCGAGCGAGAAAGCTGGGCACAAAAGCTGCGCGCGCTGTGATTCAGTTGTTAGAGTTCGGGGACAGGTAACACTGACCCAACCGCGTGTGGAGGTACGCGTACGTCAGGGTAAACCTGTGAGGAAAAGCAAAGAATGTTTGCCATGAAAGTTGGGGTCGTGGTGACCTTTAGGAGTCAGGGAGGTGGGGCATGACAGGAAAGGCATGGGGGGCTGTGGGGTGCCAGCAGCGTCCATGTCTTACCTGGGCGCATGGAGTTTGCTTTATAAACTGTTAACTGTATATGTGTTGAAGCGCCTTACGTAGACACATCATGTTTCACAATTAAAAATAACTCTAAAGTTACCGCCATGTGTAGAAGTTTCTCTAAAGCGGATCCCTATGACTCAAAAGCAAGCTGAGCCACAGGGGCCTGGAGCGCTGCAGCGGTTCAATTTGGTCGGTTGACCGTTCGCCTTCGGGCGCTCGGCTCACTGCCTCCGACCTGCTGATAGACGCTCCCAGTTGGAACCGAAGCCGAGGTTGCCGTTGGTGCTGGGTGGCGTGGGGTCACCGCTAGAGAAACCGCGTTTTCCGGCTTCCTTTCCAGAATGAGCACTGTTCAGTGCAGAGCCCTCGTGTGTCTCCAGAGTCTCGTGTCCCTCCTGGATGTGGAGCATCTGGGCGGAGCGCCAGCCCTCCAGGCTCTTGTACAGCATCTGTCACAACTGCTCTTTTCTCAGCCAGGTAAGCCTTCGGGCCCGATTGCGAAAGACTGCTCAGGTGGAACAGTTTTGGAGGGGCAGAAACGTGGACTTTGTGCTTCATTTGTCTTCCAGCCTCCAGCAGCCTCTCCAGCGCTGTCATGTACTCACAGCTGCCTGTGTCATAGAGTCAGAACAAGGCATGCAGGCCGGTCTCTGGGCTATAGTTTTCTTTTTTATTAAAATTGTTTACATCCAGTTATGTCAGACCAATTAAGACTGAATCACATATGTTGTAAGTGTTAGGTCTTATTAACATATTTGGGTAGTTATTTTTCTTAAATATAAAACCATTTGATTTGCGTTTGACCGGCCAGTACACATACGCGTTACAGAATTCACGGGTTATTAGAGGGTGCGAAGCGGGCAGCTTTGCTCCTCTTGTCGTGCATCACCCAGTTCCTCTCCCAGAGTCGGTCACTCTTACCAGTTTCTCGTGTCTTCTTCCAGAGAGATCCTTGATATAAAAGCGCACGTGCTTTTAAGGCAAGTGGCAGACTGCCACACACACGAGTGTACGCCTTCCTTTTCCGAACGCGTCTCTGTTCAGACATCTTTGCGTAGGAAGAGCTGAATCTCCAATCCGCAGGTCTCTGATATGGAATCGTTCCATTGTAGACCAAAAGCCAGGCAGAAATCCTCGGTAGTTAACTGTTCTCTCTAGCGACCTGCGCGCGGTGTGACGTGCTCTCCTCACAGGTTTTTGTGTTCGTGGTAGAATCTCGGCGTGGCCACTTCAGGCGTTAGAAGCTCAAACCAGACGGAGAGACTGATAGGAAAAGAAGTCTAGTTAAGGAAGATCCTCCACATTCTTCCAGCCAACGTGCATGTGTATGAATGTGCTGGTTTTTTAGCTCCTTAGTTTCGTGTTTTCAGGGATTTTTTGGAGGATAACCTTGAAAATAGATAGTATTCGCTTTCTGCACTAGAATCCACTCAGCAAATGAGATATGACTTCATTGTGCTACATTCAGTGTATTCTTGTATTTCATTGTAAACTGTTATCACTTCCCCTTCTCAGACATGACAATAAGTCCAAGAGTTAAAACTCTTAAAAGATCAAGGTACGATCGCTTTTGACTAAATACACGTTTCTGCATAAACATCCCTTTAAGAGTTGGTCCCCAGCAACTCTTAAACATTCCTTTAAGAGTTGGTCCCCAGACTGCTTTGCAGTCTTACATCAAGTTCATGAGAAGTGCTGTATGATGAATGGAGTGTGTTTTAGAAGTTGTAGATTAATTTTTAAAAAATAAGTAACTGTTTAGAAACCCCTGTACAGTTACGTTCTTTCTCTTCTGACCCTTTAACATTTGTCAGTTCAGCGACGTAGTTTGCACGTGGTCTCAGGCTGTGCATTCTTTAGCTGGCGTCGTCCCATGAAAGCCATGCCCAGCCAGTGCTGGCCCCGTCCCATTCAAGGCTGGGCCTGGGCAGCCTCCGTGGCACAGGGGTGGCCCGTCAGTGCGAGTGGGCCAGGTGACGGCTGTCGCTTCGTGTTTCTCTCCCAGCCTTATGAACCTGGACGCGATCTGGACGGCTAGGGTGGGGCCAGGGGTATCTGACTCTTGCTGGAGTTCTGGCTCTCGTCAGCTGGGCAGGATTTCCTGTCCACCCATTCACACGGGTTCCCTGAAGGGAGCAGGGCCAAAGCGGGGTCTCGGTCAGCAGGGCCTCCCCAAGCCTCTTCTGCTTCAAAGCCCTGCCTGACCCTAGGGAACCACACCTGCCCTAGTCCACGAGTTGCCATCTCTTGCCTCTGGGCCTTTCTCAGTCTAATCGAGGAACCACAAGCCCCATCCTCAGCCTGCACGCAGTTTGTTTCATGCACTGTCCTGTGCCTGCACCTCACAGGAAACACTCAGGTGTGTTTCTGCCGGTTCCGCTGGCTGTCTGTGGTCACTGATGTTTGCACATTCGTTACCTGGGAAGATCACGGGAAAACCGTACCACACTGAGCCTTGGAGAAATGGTGGAAAGTTTCTGAATCGTGGGGAAATATAATTAAATATTCTGATTTTTAAATAAGTTTTAAATTCATGGCTATTCTTGATAGAACGTTTTCTTACCAGAATGACATTTTTGATAAAGGACAATGGCTTCTATTTAGAGGTGCTATTAATAGTGGAAAGTTTAAAGGGTAACCACTTATATTTAGAGGTGATATTCTAACATAGGCCTTCATTTGGGATTTTTTAGATAACGTGAATCTCTGGGTTCTGTATGGATATTGTGAACCATCACTGGAGAATTAGGCGGGGAGAAGGGGGCTAAATTTCTCTTTTTGTGTTACCGTGATTGAGAGTTCAAAGTATGAGGATCAAATGGCTCTAACTTGTTTTAATTTTCATGCTAAAATACAGTTCTAAATAGTTACATACCTACGTTATGTTTGTGGTTGACATTAGAGATAAAAGGAAAAAGTTTTTAGTAGAATCTGGTCCTTCCATTTAAAGCACTAATATCAGTGTCCCCTTCATTAAAAACTATTGATCTTTAGAGCATTAAGAAACATTTCGCCATGTTGTATTTTCAGACTGGGACAAACTCTTCGCTCTGTTGTGTGGGATCTAAAATCACTCTTTC